GGCTGTGTATGATATCGACTCTAGTGAATAACAAGGTGATAAGAACCTTCCATATAAACAAGTCCCCATCTCCTTCCCTGCTCCTCATCTGTAATTGAAACGATATGTTTGTTCCCACTGCTATTCACATCAGACATGTTTTGATTTACCTCTTCCTATCTCACACCACGATGAAGGATTCGGAAACTTTCTTGAAGAATGTGTACAACACACATGCCCCTCACTACAATACTATTCGCAATTGGTTCCATCGTTTCGAAAAAGATGACTTCTCGCTCGATGAAAAGGATCGCTCTGGGAGACCCCGTGAGTTGGATTTGGACAAGCTGAAGCACGCATTGCAATCGGATCCATTTCAATCTAGCCGTGAACTAGCTGTCACATTCGGAGTTCACCATAGCACAGTCCTTGAAGGTTTGAAGTCTCTTGGAATGAGAAAACTTTTTGGTCGATTCATACGTCATCACCTGACTCAAGCCAACCTTGACCGCCGAGTCGACGATTCGATTACTCTTCTCACTCTCCACGCGGGCGATCGATGGCTGGACCGGCTAATAACCGGAGATGAGAAGTGGGTCTTCTACGATAATCACCACAGGAAATCCCAGTGGGTTGGAGAAGGAGAGAGCCCACAGGATGTCCCCAAACCCGACCTTCATCCGAAAAAAGTTATGCTCTCTGTGTGGTGGGGAGTGGACGGCCCCATCTACTGGGAACTTCTGCCCGAGGGCAAAACAATAACTGGAGACCTCTACACTACTCAACTACGAAACCTCAAGAAAGCAGTCGACCGTTCGGCCCTGAAAGACAAGAAAGTGTACTATCAACATGATAACGCTCGCCCACATGTTTCGAAACAAGTGAAGCAGGAGCTGATGGGATATGGATGGAATGTTCTCCCTCACCCCCCGTATTCTCCTGATCTTGCTCCTTCCGACTATTGGTTATTTGGCGATATGACACGTGCCTTCGAAGGAAGAAGCTTCAATTCCCGTGGAGCGGTCGAAGCGGCACTCAAACAATACTTTGCCTCACGCCCGGCTGGATTCTACCGCAATGGAATCCATAAATTGAGGGAACGTTGGAGACATGTTGTTGATAATGATGGACAATATAATTAATTATTCGGTTATTTTTTCTTTGAGAAATAAACTATTGAAAAAGTGACAAAGACTTTCCCGCCAACCTAATAAAAATGAAAAAATGATTGAGAAGTTGTTCAACACAACGGGAGGTGAGGTTTGAAAACTGTCGATAAAGGGGTACTGTAGATAACGAGGTACTGTAGCTGGTGGGATCACTGTAGCTGACAGAGTAGGATACCGTATGTAGGATAAAAAGGATTACTGTAGAAATAGAGACCCCAAGAGTTAGAGCTAGCAAGGAAAAACGGAAGTAGACAATATTAATCCGAAAGCTATTTGCCATGATTATCAATTACACTGTAGAAAGCAAGGACTACTGTAGGCTGGTAAGGTTACTGTAGAAGAATGTACAGTTGGATTCTAGGATTACTGTAGCTAACTCGATACTTTATCGCTTCCCAGAAGAGTTGTAATTGGTTTACTGTAGAAAATCTAAAATTTTCTTTCAGCCGACCAAATGCATATTCCGACGCTCATTGATATGTTTCAAGGATTCGATATCTCTGTGGAATCTGCGTATTTCAATAAAAAAGGAGAAATTAATGCGAATTTGAGAGTGGATGGAATTGTTCCAGGAGTCATTATTCTATTTTTCTATCGATTTTCTGAAATTCTAGAAAAATCTGAAATTTTCAGACTCCTAATAGCCCAACTGGATATCAAATCAGTGCTCTTGGATTCCAAAAACCAGAAGGAAAATCCGGATTGTTGTTCTCGATGTGCTACATTGGATTGTTTTGGTGTGCAATTGAAATAGTGGCCACTTGGGCAATTGGGTATTGATTTTCTTACATCGATTTTAAAATTTTTCGTTTGTTTTTTTTTCTTTTGCGATGAAATAAATTTATTCACACTCTTAATAGTTTTCTGGAAATATGTAACAGAAAACGTATATTTGGGAAAAGTGGAAACCTAGGTCATGACGAAAAAATGAAAACTAGAATACGGCCAAAAAAAAAAAAGAAATCTAGGTCATGACCTAAAAATTGAAATTTAGGTCACAACCTAAAAAGTGAAATCTAGGTCACGACCCAAATATTTAAACCTAGGTCACGACCTAAAAATTGAAATACAGGTCATGACTCAAAAATTGAAATCTATCAATATTGACTATCTCGGTTCCTATCAGAGATATCAAAAATTTGCCATCTGATGAATTGTTAATCATAATATCACAAACATTTTACCAGTTGACAAGTTTTTGATATCTCTAATACAAACCGAGATAATTGAGCTTTAAGTGAACGGTTGGGGTGGCTTCTATCAGAGGAAATACGGTAATTCAATTTTTATGTTTTTCTTATTCCTCAAAATTTGAATTCATGTGCCAATAAAAACTTTATTCAAACATATCATAAAACCTTCAATATTCAGAAAAATTATCCAATAACCAGAACAACGTCCACGAACTTTTTCCAGAGGCAAAGTGGCAAACTGGCCACACAGATGATATAATCACTGATGTCTGGCATTTTTCGATGGATTCCACTTTTTTGAATTGCCGCCGACTGAATTTTCCATCCAGAAACGCTGAGGGGATTCTGAAAAAATTTCATTCATAGAAGAAATATACCGTATTTTCTCTAATGCCCATCCAACCCACCTACTTTGAGCTCAATTATCTTGATTCCTGTAAGAGATATCAAAAACACATCAACTGATAAAATATTTGTGATACTATGATAAACATTTTATCAGTTGACAATTTTTCGATATCTCTTACAGAAATCGAGATGATTGAGCTGATGGTTTGGGTGAGCTTATATTACAGGAAATACGGTAAGCGTCCTACCTTGTTCAAATAGAATTTCAATGAACTTCCATTTTTCTGATCTTTTCCATTGATTTTCAGATTCATCTCAAGAGTCCCTTTTTCTTGAAATCAGCAGATTGAATACTGTAATCCATTTTTCCAAAAGTTCCAAAGAATCGATCAAAGTCTTCTTGAGTTTCTGGAATTTTCAGCTTTTTAGGAATTGAAGGAGTACTGTAATTTAAAGATTACTGTAATTTGAAGTTTACTGTAATTTTGAAGTTTCGAAGTTTCAATTTTGAAGTTTCAATTACTAATGTAATTCAAAGGGTACTGTAATTCAAAGATTACTGTAATTTGAAGATTACTGTATCTTTCAAAATTTACCTGTCCCATCCACTGTTATCAATTGCTTCATTGAATCGACATTACCAAAAGTCAGTGCTGCTTGGAAGGCGTGCAAGTGGTTCGAGGCTTCAAGAAACGCATCTGAAATGAAATCTGGCCCAGAAGACGTGGCGAAATGGAGGCAGAGGAGAATTAGAAAAATTGGAAGAAGGAATTTCATTTTTTGAGAATGATAGGGACAGGGGGTATTGGAGGCTCTTTTATAGTGGAGAATAATTCGATTAAAACTGAAAAATGGGCGGAGTCAGAATTCTCCTATTTTTTTATGACCTGCGAATTTTCTCTCTTTCCCATTTTGTCGTTTAATCGAATTATAGACCCATAAAAACCCTTCGAATCTCTCTCCTGGAATCATTTTTGAAATATTCTTTTCAAAAATGAAAACTCTCGGAATTCTTCTCATTCTGATGGGTACTGTCTACAATACTCCACCATTTCATACATTATACAATAGGATGATCAAGGATTTTATGAATGGTATCGTCTTGGCTGCTGAGCGGAATGAGACGGACCTTATCACCGAAATTTTTCAATTGTCAGATGGTTAGTGATGAGCAATTACAGTTTTTAGGCGTTTTACAACGGTGACCTAACTTTTGCAAGTTGAGTTTTCTAGGCCATTATGGTAAACGACCTAGAAAGTATTCCAGGTAAATGTTAGACCATTTCTAGGCCAGAAGATTTGATGGCCTAGAAAGCCCAACTTGCAAAAGTTAGGCCACTGTGGTAAATGGCTTAGAAACACATCAGGTGCCGGCTCTAGATCATATATCTTGGTGGCCTAGGAAACTAAACTTTAAAAAGTTGAAATAGATACATTTGTCCTCGCGTACAACTAGTCCTGAACTACAGTAATCCAAAAAAAAATCCTTCCAGAAAGTGGCAAGAAAACCGCGCTGGAATTGATTCAAATATTGAAAATGATAAAATTCGACGTAATTTCTGTCAAATCCTCTTCCGATCACCAAACTCTCGAAGCTAGAATGATCATATCCGGTCGAATTGAAAAAGTGTTCCCGAAGTTTTCCACTACCTGGTTTTTGAAAAGAGTGAGTGTTTTTCGAATATTCAAAAATACCGTATTTTCTCTAGCAGAAGCCCACCCAAGAAGCTAACTTTGAGCTTATTTATCTCGATGCCTGTGAGAGATATCAAAAATGTATAAATTAACAAAATACTGATCATAGTATCACCAATGTTTCATCAGTTGGCCGAATTTTGATATCTTTCACAGGAATTGAGAGAATTGAGCTCAAAGTTAGCCATTTGGTTAGGCTCCTATTACAGGAAATACAGTACTACAGTTTCGGGCAATTCAAAGTTTGGGAACTCAACATTTTGAGATTTGAATTCGTAAAAATTTGAATTTGTGGATCTCCGAAAGTTATCGAAAAAAACGTTTTTTTTTTAATTTCAGAATTCTCGAGTTTTTTTAAACATAGCCTAAACTTCTTGAAATTTCAGAAACGCAATAGTTCAATCGGATGAATTGTTGATGAAATCAGAACTTCTAATCTGGAAAAACGACGATTTGGACCAGGAGAAAGTGGTTGGGAGACTGCTGCATGTGCCACGGAACCACTGATTTGTGCAATTTTGGCAAAAAAGAAGGAGATAAGCAGTCGATATTATGTTGATTGAAAATGATGAATTTTGGGAATTTTTAAATTTTGAACATTCTATTTTAGAATCCAATTGTTAAATTTTTTCGAAGCTTATACGATTATTAAATTCAAGTATTCCTGAAAAATTTTGAGTCATTTTTTTATCTCGAAATTCGAATTTTCTTAATTTTTCATATTATGCTTGTCTGAGAAAAAAAAAGGTTAGAGAGTATTTTTTTGCAGTCTGAACACGGTAGCGATATTGAAGCGGAGAGCCTAAATAGCACACAAACGGTGGAGACGCAGACACTTTTTCTCTGCGTCTCAACCTTTTTTTTCTCAGACAAGCATAATATTTAGCAAATTTTTTTCGAATTTAGCAATTTTCAAAATAAAAGTCCGAAAATTTGCAAAATCTCAAAATTTTGAAACTTTGGTATTTTAAAAGTTTTTGGGAACTTCTGAAAATTTTCATTTTCTCTCAATTATCTGATTCGTTATGGAATTTTCGGGATCTTTTTATAATTTTTCTATTGACAGCTCTTTGATATCTTCTTTAATTGTAAAACCAAGATAATTGCAATCGAAGTAAATTAATCGATTTGAATTTTTCCAAAATAATAAAGTTTTGAATTCTAAACTTTTATTTTATCCAAAACTATTCACAAAAAATAAAAACAGCAACCTCTAGAAAAAGTATAAATTAATACTCCTTCTCTGACCTCAAATCGTCTCCCATCATTCTCTTTGGCTTCTTCTTCACCGGTTCTTCCTCATCGGACCCTTCTGGATTGTCGTCATTCTTCTTCACTGGGTTTTCTTCTTCGGAACCTTCTGGAATATCTTGATTCTTCTGTACTGGCTTTTCTTCATCAGACCCTTCTGGAATATCGTCAATCTTCTTCACCGTCATCTTAGGCTTCATCCACTTTCTCTTATACTGCTCCTCGAGCTGCTTCAAATAGATGGATCGGTTGTTGAGTTTCACCAGACGGACGTTGAGTTTTGGTACCGTATTCATAATGGTTCTGAAATAAAATTGAGAATTTTGGAAGGAAATGCAATAGAGACAATGAAAGAGACAACGAGGTCAAGTTCAGAAGTTCTAAAAAAAGTAGGAAATTCGGAATCTAAAAAACTATGAAAAAGGAAAACAGGACAACTTCAGAAAAAAAGAAGACACTGAAAATGAGAAATAGAAAAAAGAAAAAGAAAGAAATATCAAGTATGACTGATGCCGAGGGTCTTCTGAGACCTAGTAATTGGCACCACCTGCATGTTATCTGCACATTGTCATCTCCATGTCACACTTTTTGTATAATTGACTCTATTAGTCGGTGACGTGGCGAAGAAGGACAGTGGGCATTCGGAAGTGACAGAGACGTCCGGGCAATGGAGACAGGCGATGTACTTTCCCAGGAGTCATGTCCCTTTAAAGATTCAAATCGCAGTGTCTTATGTGTCTTCGGGAGAGTTGTGTGGGGATTGGTAACCTGAAAATGTCTTTTAATGGTTTGGATGTATAATTTGAATTTTTTAAAAACTGATTCCTTCTTATTAGTGACCAGCCTGCTGGCTTCTGCACCTTCGGCACAATTCAATATTTTTTACTGGTTCTTCACTCCACCCCTCTATTCGATTTCTCTTTCTCACACAGTACAACACCAGTCGGTTTGAGCCCCCTGCCGGGGGCTCAACTTCTTGGCTTCTGTTTACTGTATCATGCACTTGAATTTCTGATTTCAGAAATTCCCACCTTCCGTGTGTCCGAAATTTCCTTTTTATTTTAAAATTTTCGATTTTCCTTATATAGGAATTTTTGAATATCGTATTTTCTCTAATAGACGCCTGAATCTATTTGAAGACTAACTCTAATATTTGGAGAACACCTCTAATAGCTCACCCTGGCTGTGCTGTTTCTTTCTCAGAAAATTAGTGTGCGCGAACCGGTGGCTATACGGGAAAATCCTGTTTAGCTCCCACTCTGGATTTTTTTATATCCGAAGTTTTTATTTTCTTGGATTTTCTAATTTATGATTCTTAGGGGTTTCTGAAGTTTTGAAATTCGAAAAACCCAACACACACCCCTACTTCTAACTAGGGAAGGTTGTTTGTGGGGTATGGGACTGCGATATGAGACCTATATCATTCGAAAGCTGAAAATGAGACAATTTCAAATATATATTTCGATTTTGCTGCCGACTTACCAGATTCGAGAAAATCGGGTTGGAAATCTCATTTTTGAATAAGCAAAAAAATTTTTTTTGAAAAAATAGTTTGCCGAACATTTTGAAGTTTTGAAGTTTGAAGTACAAAGACCGAAAACAAAAACAAAAACGAACTGAGGCCAGAGGGATCGAACCCAACCCTAGTCAGTTACCGTCCTCCCTCTTCACCACTACACCACCAGTCGCTGCTTTCAACTAGTTCTCCAACGCATATAAGAAAGGGGGGAGATCCGGCCCTTAAAATATTCGAATTTCAGCCAAATTTCAAACTCGATTTTCTCGAATCTGGTAAGTCCGCAGCAAAATCTGAATATATATTTGAAAATGTCTCATTCTCAGCTTTCGAATGATATAGGTCTCATATCGAAGTCCCATACCCCAGTTACAACCTTCCCTAGTAAGCCTTTCGTTCTAGCTTACCTTGAAAATATAGGGAAGAGATTACAGTGTATACTTGGGGGCTTTTTTTGAGTATTCAAAATATCGGAGGCGGGAGTCAGGTGGTTTGACACCTTTCTGAATCTCTCTCGCTTAGAAGACCCGAAATCGTATAGTCTATAAATTTCTGCAATTTTCTAGAACCTTCTGAAATATTCTAGAATGTTCTGGAATGTCATAAACATATCCTGAATGTTCTGGAGTTATCTCGAATATTATGGAATTTTCTCGGATTTTCTAGAATATTCTGGACTTTTCCGAAATTTTCTAGAATGTGCTGGAACTTTCTGGAATTTTCTAGAAAGTTCTAGAAAGTTCTAGAATTTCCTAGAATTTTTTTTTTCTGGAATTATCTCGAATATTCTGGAATTTTCTGGGATATTCTGGAATTTTTTGAAATGTTCTGGAATTTTCTATGATATTCTGGTATTTTCTAAAATGTTCTGAAAATTTCTGGATTGTTCTGGAATTTCTTGGATTTTTTAGAATTTTCTGGAGTTTTCTGGAAATTTATGGAACTTTCTGGAATTTTCTAGAGTTTTTAAGAATTTTCTACGATAGAATTTTCTGGAATTTTCTAGAATGTTCTGAAATATTACACAAAATTCTAGATCAATTTTTTTTTTGGTTCTAGAAAACTGTTTTTTTTATTATTGCAGACGTATTTTTTCCAATTTTCTGGTAATTTCGATTAAGTCTTGTCGGTTCTTAGTAAAAACACGATAACTGAATTCTAGTATCCGATTTTCAGGATTTTCGAGTTTCCGAGTTTCTTCATGACAGAATGCCTGTTTCTTGATAACAGAGTACAATGTTCTGAATTTCTAGAATATTCTGGAAGGTTTTCAGTTTTCTGGAACTTTCTAGAATTTTTTTTTAATTCTTCGAATTTCACAATCTTTGGTTTTCCATATTTCGCACTTTCTGAGTTTTTTCGAATGTGCAAAAATTTTGAAACTCAAGAAATCCAAAACCGGAGATTCAAAGTCTTAGATATTTTTCAAATCATTTTTAAATTATTAATCTTCAAATTTCGACTTTTTGGAATGCAGAAAACGGATTCGGAAATTTTTCAATTCGAAAATTAGGCAATCAGGATACTCAGACATTATAAAATTTCGGAATTCGGTGGTTTAAAAAAACTGAAACTTAAAGGTGGGGGGGACAGGAGATTTTTCGTAGTTTTTTTGTAGCTAGAGTATGCATTCTACCGTGACGGTGTACAACGCTTAATGTCACTCTGCGTACAGCTGTTATCCTCGCCTTTATGTATGCAATCGGGCGTGCGCTTTCTCTTTGCCCGTGTAGCTCAGTCGGTAGCGGCGCCGCACCCTCAATCATCGTCCTCATAAGTTCAACTCCTCGAGGGGCATCTTTGAACGAAATTTCGAGAACATTATTTTTTTCATGTCCCCCCACCTTTAAACTATTTTCTGGTTGAAAAATAATTATGTTGTTTTTTGGAGAAAAAACGATTTTCCCAGAAAAATGCTCATGAATATGGTATCAGAAGGTGTCAGAAAAAATTTGAAAATGAGGTCTGTAAAACAAATAACACTATAACACACATTTGCAGTAGGCCACATGACCGAAACTGAATTGATTTACGAAAAAAACTAAAATTTCAAAAAGTTTTTATTTTGGAGATTTGAGCTTAATTTTTTTGTATGTCGCACATGAACATGCCCAAAAAACGTTTGGCAGAATATTACGAAGTTTTAGTGAGTTTTTGGATAATTTTGAAAATTTCGATTCTTAACCTTATGGGTTCCCTATAAGCTAGAAGGCCCAGGACACCATAGGCATGAAGCGCTCGGTAGGTCATGGCTACATACTACATACCACTATAGGAGTCCCACGTCCCTTCGAGTTATCCAAGTTAAGGTCCGAGAAACACAGACACACAGACACACAGAAAAGTTTCCTTACAGTAGATCTACGCCCTCCCTCCCTACTATCTCTGTGGCCCTCATGGCGCAGCAGCCGTTGTGCGACCGGCCGCTGGTTCGGTTTTGGTGGCGGCCAACCTTTCATTTAAAAACCCAAAACCGGACAGGCTGACACCGGGACCAACAGACGCGTCTAGGGGTTTATACATAAGGAAGATACTTCAGGTACTCGATGACAAGAAGACTGAAAAAAAATTAGTCTGGAAATTCTTTGACAATCGGGATATGCTCTTTTTAAACCTTGATGATTCTGGAACTTCCATCTGGAACTTCCGGTACCACATCACCAATTGATTAAGATAATTAGGTAAAAGTGTAACACATGGAAGATGACCTAGATAACACTAATTAGCGGATCTCCGAGGTCCCTCGACATTAGTCATATCTGCTATTTTTCTTCTGTTTACTAATTCTAATTTTGCAATTTCTAGTTTTTAAAAATTCGAAACTCATTTTCACTTCCCATACATATGTGTCACGTGTCAAAAAAATATCACTATAAAAACCACCCGATTCCACTTGTCGGGTATCATTTTGTCTTTTAAAAATGAATTTCTTGACTATTTTCCTATTTCTGGCAATTCTCCATACTTCATTTTCTGTCGATGTCGATCCTGCAGTTAAGGTTCGAAGACATCTGAAACGGATTTATGCTAAAGCGAAAGCTAATGATACGGAAAAAATCAAAGAGTTTTTTGATATTAAATCAGGTTAGTGATGAGCAATATGGATTACTGTAGTTAGGTGGTGATAGTAGCTAGAGGGTTACTGTAAATAAACAATAAGTTCTGCTAGGAAAATTATTGTAGCTAGAGAATCCATGTTAGGCACGGATGAAGTGATTACTGTAGTTAGATAGTAATAGCAGCTAAATGGTTACTGTTGCAAGGTTACTGTAGCTAGAACATTGACGATTACTATAGTTAAGCAATGGATAAAGCCAAAAAGGTTACTGTAGCTAGAAGAATTGCTGTAGTTGGATATAAATTAGAAAAAAAAATGAGGGGGTTACTTTAGATAAACTATGAGTACAGCGAGAAAAATTACTTTGGCTGAAGGATTGCGGTAAGACTCTACAGTAATCCAATCTCCATATATTTTCAGAGGATAACCTGTTGGGCACGGATTTGGTTGGATTCTTCCTAAAATACGATTCCTATAGAATCAATACTATCCGACAGGCAGCGAGTCGTCGAATTATGACCAAATTGACGTTTTTCAGTAGTACGGATAAGAATGTTCCAGAGCGAAAATTCCTTTGGAAATTGAGAAAAGTGAGTGGGATTCGGAAATGTTCGGATTCTTGAATTCTGAAATTCTGAAAATCTGAAATTTCCAAGATTTTTAGTTTCCGAACATTGCTCATCTTAAAAATTCCTGTTTTTCAGGGACCCAGCTCATCACTTCTTCAAACTTATTCCATCAGGAAAACTGTCTAATCAGGAAGCATGGATCAAAAAAACTTGGAAAACTTAATTGCGGAATTATTTGAATAAAAACTTTGATGTTTTTCTATTTTTTTTTCAATAATTTCAGAGTTTCCGAATTTTCGAATTTCTGAGAATTTTGAAAAGCTTAAAATCAGAATTATAAAATTTTTGAGTATCTGAACTTCGTGAGTTTTGATTTCCATAACTTAATTTTTTTTAGTTTCTGAATTTCCAAATTTCTGCAATTCTGTCATTTTCCCATTCTTCTTTTTTATGCGTTGAGAACCTTTTCTCTTTCCCATCCTATCGTTTAATCGAATTGGAAACCTATATAAAATCCCTCCAATCTCTCTCCCAGTATTTTTTGGAATATCATTTTCCAAACATGAATATTCTCGGAATTCTTCTTATTCTTCTGGGTACTGTATCCAATACATTATCTGACCCCATTCCTCCAACTCCACCTGAGGTAGTCGCTGAACTGATGAGAGTTCTTTTCTTGGCTGCTGATCGAAACGACACGGGAACTATTGTTGAGACGTTTCGATTGCCATATGGTAAGGCAACCTACCGTAATCCAATGAAAACTACAGTGATCTATTGCAAGCTACAGTAATCCATTTTAAACTACAGTAATCCATTATCAAGGACAGTAAGCCCTACTTTTTTCCGAGCATGACAGAAAAACCGCACTGGATATGATTCAAATCTTCAGAATGGTGAAATATGAATTAATGTCTGCCAGATATCGATACGATTTCGTAACGATCAAAGCGAAGATGATGATTTCCGGACGATTTGAGAAGATTTTCCCAAAATTCCCTACCATTTGGCTTTTGAGAAAAGTGAGTTTGTCATGAATTATGAGTTTCAGTAATTTCAAATATTAAAAATTTTGGCAATTTTCAAAAGTTCGAAAATATCAAGATTTTCGAGATCAAAAATTTAGAATCCTTCGAAATCTCCATTTTTAAAACCATTTTTTTTGGATTCTTCCCAATATCCGGACTTTTCTTAGTCTTAAAAATTCAAAGAATTTTCAGAATGTAAAGTTATTCAAATATTTAGAATTGACCGAAATTCCCATTTTCCATATTTTCAGAATTCTCACATCTTCGAGTTTTGTGATTTTCCGAAACTTAAAATTTGCTGAAATTTCAACTTTTTGGATTTTTACGAATTTATGGATTTTCTTTCAGAATTCTTAAAACTTGTAGAACATTCTGAACTTTCAATTTTTTGAGATTTTAGACTTTTCCAAAGTTTCAGAATGTACCGAAAATCTGATTTTCTCTATTTTCATAAACTTCAAATTCTTGGGTTTTTATTGAATTCCAAAATTTTTAGAATTTTTAGAATTTTTAGGACTAATCAAAACTTTCAAAATTGCATAATTTACCGTAATTCCAAGTTTCTTGGTGTTTTTCTAACTTTCACGATTAACAGAATTTTCAGAATTTGTGAGATTTCGGAATTTTTCAAATTTTAAAATTGAATTTAGATTTTCAGAATTTTAGAATTTCAGAGCCTAAAATAATTTTTGATTCAGTAAGATATTTTCAGAATTTGTAAACTTTTCTTGGGATTTTTGAAATGCCTGTAATTTATTGACCATTCCAAAGAATTCATTTTTTAGGTTTCCCATTATTTCTAAAATATTGAAAATATTCCAAAAAATTTCTCGAAATTTTAATTTTTTTCAATGGAAATCCTTGGAATCGTTCAGAATCCTGAAACTTAAGAATTCGCCAAGATTCCAATTTTCTCGATTTTTCAAAATTACCAAAATTCAGATTTTCAGAATTTTTAGATTTAGACTTTTTTCTTTTAAAGGTGGGGAGACATGAAAAAAATAATGTTCTCGAAATTCCTTTTAAATATGCCCCTCGAGGAGTTGAACTTGTGAGGGCGATGATTGAGGGTGCGGCGCCGCTACCGACTGAGCCACGCGGGCAAAGAGAAAGCTGCCGCCCGATTGCATACATAAAGGCGAGGACGACAGCTGTACGCAGTGTGACATTAAGCATTGTACACCGTGACGGTAATTCGGTCAATCCGTCTTGAGATGTTTTGTAATCCTTATCAATTCTCGTTAAGTTTCTACCCACTATTCTATTCATCAATTTTCTAGTGAAGGAGCTTTGCACTTTCTCTATATTGTCAATGAGCAGTTTTTTAGAAGGGCTGGCTACCACCGTTCCATATTCCAAATACGGTCTCACAAAAGTCTTATATAGTAATGACATTAATCTAACGTTCTTACTATGATAAGTTTTAAAAATAGAGTAACTAGCATATTTCGCCCTATTGATAGCTTTCTGTCAATGGTTAGAAATTTTTGGAAGTTGGTTTTCCAGAACTCAGATATTTTAAAAATTCTCGAACATCTGAATTTCTGATTTTTAGATTTTAGACTGTTTTTTTTGGATTTTTGAGATTTTGTAATTTCCAGAAGTTCAGACTTTTTTTTTTGAAAATTTCGAAAGTTGCGACTTTTAAAATTAAGGAACTTCTGAATGGTTTTTTCCAGTATTTTGTTTGATTTTTAGGAAGTTTTTGATTTTCAAAATTTCAAAGTTTTTATATTTTTTCTAAACAAATGCTTTTTAAAATTCAAAAGTCTTGACTTTCAATTTTATTTTTGAATTTCTAGATTTTAGAATTCCAAAACACAAAAAAGTCAATTTTCTGACCAATTGATCTCCCTGCTCTGACCTCATTTTGACCAGAGCTTAATTGGGATGAGGTGCTTATTTCTGGGAATTTTTCAATCAAAATTCTGCTGTATCTTGTTCTCTGCTCTGGGTTCAAATTATTGTCTTGAAAATCTAATTTTCCTCTTTTTTCCGTCTTTTTTATTCCCAGATTTTTCCAGAAGAAATGGAGACTTCAACGACTACATATGACGATGCAAACCGATTTTTTCCGAATTCTGAAATGTCAACAAAACTGATTCTGTATGATTTTATGAATTTGTTGTTGTAAGTTTTTTTTTTTTCAAAACTCTGAATTTCTGAAACTCTGAATTCCAGTTTCAAAAATTCAACAATTTGAAATCAAAAATTGAGACATTTTTTGAAACTAAAATTTGAAATTGTAGTTTTTGCATTCCCAAAAATTGGTCAGATACATCATTTTCAGCCTTTTTCCAGCTAATTTCTTGTAACTTTTGGTTCTCACAACAGTTTTTTTCTTGCTGGACCATTTCTTGTTTTCAATCTGGCTGTTTCTCCCCCTTCACTTTTACAATCAAAAATCAGTAGAAAATTTTGGAATTGAATTGGAAAAAATCTTGTTTTTCACAAAAATCTGTAACCTCTGAATCTGTAAGATGTCACGAAAAATAATGATAATGACGAAAAATAATAGTGAGAAAAACAAAATTTCTCATTTTTTTTCGAAACAAGCCAAAAATCTGCTTCCGGTATAACGAAGAAAAGCAGCAATGTCTTCTAATATAGATTATCAAGATTATTCATTATCGATTTTTAAAAACCTTCCAAAACCATTGAAGGTTCTTGTTATTGGGTTTTTTGTGTGAGTTTTTTTTTGTTGCTTAAACAAATCTCAGATTTTCAGAATTTTCAATTTTTGATTTTTCTAATTTCTGAAGTCTTGGAAATTCTTAATTATTCGAATTTTTCAATTTCCGGTTTTCTAAATTTTTTGAATTTTAGAATTTCCAGATTTCTGACTTCTCAAATTTTCAAATTTCCAGATTCATTGACGACAACTTTGATAAATTGGCTTTTGTATTCTCTTCAATTGGAATAATTTGTAACGTTTTCCATATTTTAATACTTTCCAAAAAATCGATGAGAGTTTTTACTGTAAATATATTCCTTCTTGGAATTGGAATTTGGGACTTGATTCGAATGATTTGTGAAATTAATCTTGTTTGGCCAACGATTTCCGCAATGTATATACGAAATTCAGATATTCCTGGTGAATGGTATTATCATTTTTATCTCCGATAGAAGCCTTCTTTATACGCCCACTTTGAGCTCAATTATCTCGGTTCCTATAAAAGATATCAAAATTTTGTCAACTGATAAAATATTGGGGATAATATGATAAATAAATTATCAATTGACAGATGTTAGATATCACTTACAAGAACCGAGATAACTGAGCTCAAAGTGCACATATAGGGTGGGCTTCTATTTGAGAATTTACGAGGAATCGACATCTGTGTGTCTGTGTGTCCCGATGATTTCAATTTTTCAGCCTAGGACCAGATTATTATCTGACTTTGGTTGCTTTTTTATTTTGTGTCCCTACGAGAACAATGGCTGTGCAAATGTCTGTATGGTATGGTGTTACTATAGCCTTGTTGAGAGCATTGGTTATGAGAAATCCGATGAATTTGAGGTGAGGACACACACAGACACACGACAGATTTTTTTTACAAATTTTTTTCAGAATTTCCTCCCTAGCAGAATCCAAAAATGGAATTCGAGTATTGCTCATCATAACGTTTCTATATTCTCCATTTTGGATAATTGGATATTTCCAAAATTACATTGATGAATTTGAGGTGTGGATTCCACCACCCTACTGCTCAAATCTTGTAGAAAACTACACCAGAATGGAATATATTATCAAAGATATCAAAATATTTGGACTGAAAGAAGAAGACATTTATCAGAAATCGTTGGTAGCTCGAGGAATTCTATGCGAACTAATTCCATGTATTCTACTTCCAATTTTCACATTTTTATTGATTTTTGAACTACAAAAAGCGAGGAAATTGGCCATGGGAAATTCTACAATTGATCGAGATCGATCCACAAAATTGGTTATTGGGATTACTGTAACATTTCTAATTTCTTATGGACCATTAGCAATATGCCACATTGTCGAATTTTATACTTTTGAGCACGATAAATTAGTGTGAGTTTTGAAAAAGAAGCTTTAACTTTGAATTCAGAATACAAAGTTTTTCAGATTCGTCACCCGAAGACTATCCCTATTCTTCAAATTGCTCACAATTTTAAATGGAATTTTTCATTTTCTGTTCTGCTTTTTTATGTCATATGCTTATCGAAAAACTGCGAAAGAATTATTACGTATCAAAGAAAAAAGCCAAACTAATTTAGTGAACGTTTCGTCGATTAATAAATGAAATAAAAATATTTGGCTTTTTTTAAAGAATCTATATCTCATTTCCTGTAACAGATATCAAGAAGTGGTCAGCTAATAAAATGTTAGTGATAACAAGCTTAACATTTTATCAGTTAACCACTTTTTGATATCTTTCAGAGGAACCAAGATATACCGATTGCATACATAAAGGCGAGGATAACAGCTGTACGCAGAGTGACATTAACCGTTGTACACCGTGACGGTAGAATGCATACCCTAGCTACAAAAATCCTACGAAAAATCTCCTGTCCCCCCCACCTTTGAATATTGATCTAAAAGTGCTAGCATTTTTTTCAGAATCAGTGGAGTCCAATGGGATGGATCGTCGAAAAAATCTACACGAAACAAGACGAATCGCAATGATGTTCCCCTCCTCCGGGAATCTGTGAGACTATCCAGATCAGACCATTCAATAATTGAAATTTGGAAATAAATCATGTTGAACATTCCATAAATGCGTCTGAATTTTAGATTATCCGAGAAATTCAACATTTCAAAATTCAAAAAGCTGCTCAATTTTCACCTTTGAATTTTCAAAAAAAAAAAGAAAGACTTTATACAAAAAATACAGAAAAGACCATATTGCACAGTTCAAGGATTAATAAATTATTATAATTAAAAAAGAAAATACAATTAAATAATTAATTAATTAATTAAAATTTCGTTTCGTCCTTGCGATAATTTGAAAACTGATTGCGAATATTAGGAATGCAACCGATATTCCAGTTGATGTCGTTGCCAGTTGAGTGTTTATACAGACTCGCATTTCTTCTGAAAGATAAAACATTCTAGGCCATTTAGGGTTTTCTAGGCCACTCAGGATTTCCTATGACACCTAGCGTTTTCTAGGCCATCCAGGATTTTCTAGACCATCCAGAATTTTCTAGGAAATCAAAAGTTTTTAGGCCATCCAGGGTTTTCTAGGTCATCCAGGATTTTCTAGGCCATCCAGGATTTTCTAGGCCATCCAAGATTTTCTAGGCTATCCAGGATTTTCTAGACCATCCAGGATTTTCTAGGCCATAAACGGCTTTCTAGGTCACCTAGGGTTTTGCTAGGTCATCCGGTGATTTTTCGACGATTACGAACTTTTAGGCCATCAATGGTTTCCTAGGCCATCGAGAGTTTTCTAGACCAGCAAGGCTTTCTAGGCTATCGAGGATTTTCTAAGCAACTGATAGTGAGGGTTTTCTACTCTATCAAAGGGTTTTCTAGGCCATCCTGCTGCTGAGCATTCTGCTGCTGAGCAAAAACTAACCCGAAAAATTCGGCTGACACGTCTTCGACAAACAAATCGACGTCCTCACTGATTGTGTAGACGTGGAGACTTCAGGAGCGGTGACTGAAGCACGACGATGTTTGATGAATGATGAGGCGTCGGAGAGAATTGAGTTTGGAGGAGACGTGACGACGTCAGCGCAGAATGGAGGCTGGAAAAAACTCTTGGGTGCAAGTTTGCTCTATTGACAATATACCTACCGATGGAATATCCTCACAACTCGTGGTGTTTGTTACCGATGACTTGATATTTGAGCAGATTAAAATATCGCATTTGATCTGCAAACTTGACATATCTGGCACCTTAAACGCCCACATATGGGCAGATGCGGTATCATGATAAGTGTCATAATGAGGATGATCAATGATCTGAAGATCCGCAGAACATCCTTGCTCATCAATAAGCGTGTGGTCGATTTTTCCGACCGCGTCGACCACTTTGCAATTTCGAATGTGCATTCCGTAGGCGTCTGGAAATCTCGCTTTGTTGAATTTGTACAAAAATTTGTCAACTACAAAATTGAAGTTCTATTTTTGTATGGTGCACTCTAAAACTTTAAGGCAAATCGAAACATTCTGAACCAGTTTTGTAAGTGTCCAATATTGACTTTCATGAACACTCTAACCCTCATTTTCAATTTTTAGCTAATTTAATCCAAAACGTTGTACCGTGCGCCTTTAAGTAGAAAACGACAGTATTTACAGTAAACAGTAAAACTACAGTAAAACTACAGTAACCCCAAACTAACCCGATTCCGGAACCATGCTCCATTTGAGTGCCAACGGCATTCCAATATCCGCTGCAGAAACCTCAGCACCCAATTTATGATGTCCCTCATCCACCACAATTTGCATTTGGACACTAGGCATAGACGCTTTCTGTTCCAGTTTGGATGGCACCAAGCGGAGTCTGAATGTTTGCATTGGAGCGAGTTTGCATTATTTCAATGGAGCGCACTTACTCTTCCAACGCCTCTTCAATTCTTTTCGGCAAAATCTGTTTATTATAATTGACCTTCTGATGGACACATTGAGCCATAAATGATTGTAGTGTGTTTGTTCCGTTGCCTTGGTCAATTATGAGAACGACTTGCATATGGTATTGAGCGCGACTGTCCACTTGTTCACCAACATTTCTTACCCCACAAGTGGCAAATGGAAGGAAGACTTTGGGTTTCGCATCTTCGGTAAACGTTTTTTGGCACCTAGAAATTTTGGATATGAACTACCGTAGAAACCTATAATAGAATGCTCCCCGCCATTAACTTAGAACCGGTTTAAGCTCAAATTAAAGCTCTATTTCTGCTTAATATACTCTGAAATTTCAAATCAAATAACTCTGAACTACATTCTTAGGTGTCCCATGCTGACTACTGTAAGCGCTCTAATAGAATGCCCTAACTTTGATCCAATTTATGAGGTCTTTCGTTCGGTTCCTTTTGTGGTTTTTTTGTTGTTTTTTTTGTTTTTGACATAATAGAGCTATTTTGCTAATTTCTTGAATATTTTTCCCTTTTAGTGATGAAATTTAAAAAATAGTCAGGATTTTTCGATAGAAAAAGCACTAATAGAGTTTCACCCAGACCGTCAACTATAAGCGTATTTATCTCGGTTCCTGTAAATGATACCAAGAAATGGTCAATTAACAAAATGTTAATTATAACATTAAAAATATTTTATTAGTTGACTACTTTTTGATATCTTTCACAGGGACCAAGATAAATTTGCTCAAAAAACCGTTGATAAAATGTTTTTGTCAATTTTTGTCAATTGATAAAATGTTTATCGTAAAATCACCAATATTTTATCAGTTGACCACTTTTTGATATCTTTCATAGGAGCCGAGATAATTGAGCTCAAAATACGCGAATTGGTATTTGCTTTAATAATAGAAGTCCAATCTTATATGTGCACTTTGAGTCCAATTATCTCGGTTCCTATAAAATATATCAAAAAGTGGTCAACAGATAAAATATCAGTCATTTCATGATTAACATTTTATCAGTTGACACATTTTTGATAATTCTAATAGAAACCGAGATAATTGAGCTCAAAGTGTACCCAAATGAAGTAGTCTAGAATCCCACAATTGTGGCTTAGAATACCAAATTCTAGGTCATCAAACTTTAAACTTACTCTGGAATTCTTTTCCGATCGTTGGCGAACACTTCTCCCGACAATGGCAATATCGTTTTGACCTCAAAACTGATACCATCTTCCAGGCACAAGATTCGGGGTTTTCCTGAAAAATATTGGCTCATTTTTTGAGCGGAATTTTTTTGAATTTTCCCTAATTTTGAAGTCTAAAACTCACCAATAAGCCTATTCGGAACTCTTGGTGCACCTTCTGGCGGTGCATACGGATTGCCACGTGGCGGTGGGTTGGTACTTGGCAGGATACCAGGTGAGGATCCTTCACTTGGTGGGAAGCTTGCCGTGACGATTCTGGTGGATTCTGGAGGCGGAGTTGGTGACGTGGCAAATTCAGATGGACGGAATCTGTCGGTAGACACGGAGGTAAGGGATTCTGGAGGCGTCGTTGATTCTGAAGATCTTCCAGGAGACGGTGGAGGTCCAGAAGGTCCAGAAGGTCTTTCAGGAGGTTCTGTAGAATCAGAAGGTCTGTGTGGAAATTCTGAAGGTCCAGAAGGTCTTTCAGGAGTAACAGAAGATTCTAAAGGCGTGGTAGGAGCCGCTGTAGGCCCAGAAGGTCCTGATGGAGACGTCGTAGATCCAGATGGGCCTTCAGAAGATGGAGTAAAATGATCCGTGGAGAATTCTGAAGTCGATGAAGTTGGAAAACCAGAAGATGGAGTGATGTATTCCGATTCAGAAGGCGTTGAAGATGTGGTGTAGATCCAGCCATCAGTGGATCTAGATGAAGATCCAGAAGAAGGCGCGGTCGTTGATTCAGATTCTCCCGAATCCGTCCTCTCTCGATCCGTAAACACTTCGGTGTAAAAGCCAGGGGTGGTTACTGAAGTTTCAGAATTTCGAGGTCCCGGGGTTACTGTAGAACTTCCGCCGAAATTTCCGCCACCTGGTGGACCACTACTTCTCGATGGGAATTCTGGTTGTCTGGTGACTGAAGCGGGTGTTTGCGTTTCTTTCGAATTTTGAGAAGTCGTTGGGTTTGGAGTGACTTCTGAAGACGTCTTCGGATGAAGAGGAACATAGGTTGGTGGATTTTTGCCACGTGGTGTGCTAGCTGTCATATGGACGATGGCTGGTGGAACGTATTCTGGAACGTCTTCTTCGGTTGTCGTGGATTCGATGGGTCGAGGAGTTGTCGTTGGAGATGGAGGCACGAATCGGGCCGAGATGGTTTGAGCTGTTGGGCGGATTGTATCCATCTGGAAATTTCTGATTTTTAAAGAATTTTCATCATTTCTAGAAGCCTACCGTAGTCTCATGATAATCCTCATCTGGCGGAGGTGTACTTGGCGGTGGTGGGAAATTGTGAGCATGAATCAGTGCTCTTGGCGGTGTCGCCGGTCCACCAAATGGAGGGAATGGCTGTTTTCCAGGAGGTACAGTATACGGAGTGGCGTATTCTTCTTCTGGATGAGGTGGTGGAGGTGGTGGGATATATGGATTAATTGGAGGTGGAGCAGGTTTGTATCCAGCACGACTAGCATCATCTTTTGCCGCGTTGCTGATCACTAGAGTCGGCCCAGATCCCTCATTATCACGGTCCGGTTTGTAGAGTGAGATCTAGAAATTTTGGGGTTTTTCCTTGGACCATCGGCCGCGAAGCGTAGCTCAATGACACCCACTTTAAGCTCAGTTATCTCAATTCCTATAAGAGATATCAAAAATTTGTAAACTAATAAAATATTACTGAGATAATGATAAATAATTCATCAGTTGACCACTTCTTGACATCTTTTATAAAAACCGAGATAATTGAGCTCAAAGTAAATATGCCCAAATTATCGTTAATGTTCTACTCGAAGCCCACCCTATTCATGTCCTTTGAGCTCAATTATCTCGGTTTCCATTAAAGATACCATAAAACTGGTAACTAATAAAATGCAGCTGACATTACGATAAACATTTTATCGGTTGACGCATTTTTGATATCTCTTATAGGAGCCGAAATGATTGAGCTCAAAGTTGGCGGTTTAGAGAGGGAAGTAGCCTTTTAGAAGCTACCGCCATATGAACTTTGAGCTCATTTATCTCAATTTCTGTAGAAGATATCAGAATTTTGTCCACTGATAAAACGTTTATCATAATGTCGTCAATATTTTATCTATTGACAAAATTCTGATATCTCTGATAGGAATCGAAATAATTGAGTCCGAAGTTCAAGTATAAACCTCACCTTATCAGTATCGACTCGTCTACACGGCGGTGTCACACATCCTCCTTTACCCTTTGGCTTTTTGAAATTCACATTTATATGACTTGTAAAATCCTCTGGCTGATGTCCAGGCGGCTGATAAGCCTGTGAACTGACAGGTCGTGGGAAGAAGTTCTTCATCATTTCGTCCTCTTCCTCTTGTGGTGTCGGTGTAGCGCTTTCGCCTCGTTCGCGGTCCCGATCTTCGGTGTCTTCAGTGGATTTTGAAGATTCTGGAGTTTCCGTAGATGTCGAACGATTTGAGGGGGTCCTCGATCCAGGCGCCCCAGGGATCTGGGTATTTTCTGAGGAGTCTGGTGTCTCCGTGACATTGCTGATATCCTCTGGTGGTTCCTCATCCTCTTCTTCTGATCCTAGATAGATGGGCGGGACCGTTTTCGTGGAGCCAATGGGTTCGTTGAATGGATTGGTGGTCATTTCGAAGAGGTTTGGAGTGGAATCGGAGCCTTTAATAGGAACTTTGGGTCCAGATGAAGTTGATCCAGGTCCAGAGGGGCCAAATGAAGTTGAGCCACCATTTTCAGAATCTTTGGAGCCTCCGGAAGGTCCTTTAGAAGATTCCGTGGGTCTGAAAACAGTAGAAAGACCGTTTTCAGAATCTCTGGATCTTCCAGAAGGTCCAGGAGAGCTGCTAGGTCCCTTAGAAGATCCCAAGGGTCCAAAAGTAGTTGATTGACCATTTTCAGAATCAGGAAATCCTCCAGCAGGGGTCCTTGGTCCTCCAGAAGAAGTTGTAGATCTTCCAGAATCCGCTGGCTCTCGATCTCTGGTATCATCTGCATCTAGTGGAAGTTTCGGGATCCTTGAAGTGGTCCCACCTCCTCCACTCGGTTCCTGAGGTCCTGGACGGATGGTTGGGTTTACGGTTTTTGCGGAACTTGGTCCACTAGTATAAGAGGTTCCATCTGTGGACCCATAGGATCCCGTGGTGTCTGTGTACCCTTGCGATGAAGTTGAATAAGAATCAGAAGGCGTTGGGAATTCTGAAGAAGGCGACACCTCGGTCTGACGACCGCCATATGGGTTTGGAGGTTCGTAGGGGATGGTGGTGGTGATGGGATTGGCGGCAGGGCTGTGAGCGAGGGTTCCTGTAAGAAAAAAGTTATTAAAAGCTGAAAATTTGAATTTTGATGTAAATTTGAAATTTTGAAATTCTGAAGAATACAGAACTTAAAGAAAAAATCCTTTTCAAAAAAGTTTCTTTTCAATTTTCAAAAAACTGTTGAAATTCAAAAAAAATTCTTTCATAATTTTTCTCCTAACCTGTATAAGTCTCTGGATACGCAGATGGTTTCATTGGTTCCTCTGTGGTTACTGTAGGTCCATACAAACCATATGTTCCAGTTGGAATTGGTGGCCCCTGTGGTCCCGGGTAATAGGGATACGGTCCAGTTGTCTGCCCAGGCGTATCAGGAATCCAAATCATTTGTACAGGATACTGTTGCCAATTTGGTGGTAATGGAGGCAATCCATTTGGGAATTGCCCTTTATTAGGTGCTTTTTCATAGTAACTTGTTTGTGGACTTCCTGCTTTTGGCTGCGGTCCAACCCATGCAAATGGACGAAAACTTCCACCAGATGTTAATTGATGAGGTGGCACTTGTTGATATTTTGGGGATGGATTTCGTTGCGGAGGCGGACGATAATCAGGGATTGAGACTTGTTCCGGCCGAGTGTAGTAGTTTGGTTGAGCACGCTGCAACGATTTGTAATTTAATTAAAAGCTGAAATTATGAGCTATCCAGTGATATAAAAACTTCGGAAATCAGATGATTTTGAAGGAAGTTACATCGATTTGAATTTCGGGTCACTTTTCTGTGTACACTCGAAGCAGCCACCTCCTTCCCTCGCCACCTCGTCGTGTGCCGCCGACCCCTCTTTCATATACAACAAACCGACCTACCTCTCTCGCCTGCTTCCGTGGCGCAATAGGCAGCGCGTTCGGCTGTTAACCGAAAGGTTGGTGGTTCGAGCCCACCCGGGAGCGAGACTTTTTTTGGGTTTTTTATAACATTTTTTTGGAATTGTATCCAATTTTTGAAGTTGAAATTCAAATTTTTGCAAAAACTTCTCAAAAAGTTTTCCTAAAAATCCCTAAACCCCGTTTCAAACTAAAATGTGTAGTTTTGAAAAAAAAAACATTTGAAAATAAAAAAAGGTCTCATCTGGCAAATTCTTTATTTTCCCAAATTTTCAATTATTTCGTTCCAGAACATTTCTCAATTATTTTGGACATGGTCCCCCAGTTTTATGACTTCCTTTCTTTTTTATTGCAATTTGTTTTTTTGGAAATTTTGAAAGTTTTTTATCTTTAAAAAATTCGGAAAAATAAGAAATTTTTTCATTCAAAAAATTAAAAAACTCACTTTAGCCAAACTTGAATGTCCCTTTAAAGCTTCCAAATTAGCATTAGGATTAGGTTCAGACACAGGCGTTTTCCAAACAGGCTTCACAGACCAACAAGGCCCAAAAAGCCCAAAAAGGACTAGGAATAAGGGCCTCATGTGGGCCGGAAATTGAGGAAGTTCTCAGGAGAGAAAAAAGGAAAATGAAAAGAACAAGAAGGAGAAAACCGGCGAGAACAATAGAAAAGAGGGAACGGACACATTCCAACATTATTAGATTGATTTAAGAGATATCGTCTAGTTATGATCGGCAAAATAAGGCTTTCGAGGAGGCTTTTTCGGAAGAATATGGAAGGGAAAGTCAAGATTTGGTCATTGTCTCCTGCGATCGTTGAAATTCTCGGGTGTCCGGTTCGTTTTCATCACTTGGAAGGGCAAAAAATGAAATCAGAATTCAAAAATGATCATTTCCATCTTTTTCCCCTTGAAAAATCAGCCAAAAACCTTTACTTTTATCCATGTTTATTTTCCTTGTCCTACTTTTGGGAGTTATTATACACACTAACCAGTTCCCCCTCTTTCCCCCTCTTCTCTCCTCCTCCTTCCTCTCCCCCTCCCTTGTGTACGACAATCGCTCTCCTCTCTCTCGGGGCCTCCTTAGCTCAGTTGGTAGAGCGTGAGACTTTTAATCTTAAGGTCAGGGGTTCGAGTCCCCTAGGTGGCTTGATCTTTTTTGATTTTTTTGTTGGTGTTTGGGATGGATTTGGAGTGTTGGGGAATGAGATTTTAAATTGTTTCTAACTTTTTTTTGTGGAGAGGTTGAAAATATGGGGAAATGAAAAAAGGAAGTTTTGAAAGCGAAAGCAATTTCTTATTTTTTGAATTTTCGAATTTTCGATTTTTGAATTCCTGAATTTCAAAATTTTGAAATTTTAAGAATTCTTGAATTCCAGATTTTCGAAACTACAAAATTTCAGAGTTACTCGATTTCAAATATGTAAATTTTTTTGTAGAACTTTTGAATCCAGAAAATTGAAATTTAACTATAAAAACTTAAGAAATATGCACATTCCAAAAGTTACATCTCAACGAAACCATACAAAAAAGAAAAAAAGAAATGGGCCGAACCGGGGATTGAACCCGGGACCTCTCGCACCCAAAGCGAGAATCATACCACTAGACCATTCGGCCACATTTGAAACATTAGGTGGAGGCAGTATACGAAGGAGGGTATGGACACCGGCCGGGCGGCCGACAGCTGACCGAACAAACAATTTTTCCTCTCGTTCCTTGGAGTGTATAAGAATTCTATGAATGAGGGGAAATGCCATTTTCTTTGGATTTTTCTAGAAATTTCGACATTTTTTCGAATAAAATTTGTTTCGGATTGTTAACGTTCTTTTTTTTCCCACAGCCGATCATTATTTAGGTTAACATAAACAATTAAAAAACCTGTCTTTTCACATGCTCAACAAATAATAAAAAATCGGGTCAATGATAAATGCAAACAGTGTAAACTTTTGATAGTAGAACAAAAAAAAAATGAGAGAGATTATTTGGAAGATGAGGAGGTAAACTAGAAACTCAAGTAGAGATTAGAAGAGAATTTAGTAAATAACATGAAAAGTTTTTGGTATAAAAGTGAAGGATGAGCAATGAGAAGGAGCATAGAAGATGCGTTGTGGATTCTTGGTATTCGCTTTGGTATCGTTGGTGGCTGTTGAGGTGAGATTTTTGGACTTCTCGAATTAAAAAATCTTGGATTTTCGGATTGTAGGACCTAGTCTGGCGGTTCGGTTTGTAACTTTGTTGAAAATTTAAAATTTATTTAGAGTTCAATTTTTAATTCTAGAATTTAAAAAGCTCTACAAAATGGTATAACTTTCAATAAACATGAGACGATAGGGTTTTGAGCAGAATCCAAGGTACTGAAAGGGTAGTACAGACGAGACAGCATCTTTACAGAACCCATAGAAGAGGTTTTAGCGGAAACAATTTTGTGAGATATCAATTTGTAGCTCTAGTCCGGAGCAACTTTTCTTTTTTTTTGATTGGTTCGAATATGTTGAGTTTAAAGGGAGTTATGAGCATTTTTATTCAGCGTACTATGAAAATAGAATGCCACCCCAACCGCCAAATTTGAGCTCAATTATCTCGATTTCTTTAAGAGATATCAAAAATTTGTCAACTGATAAAATATTGGTAATGTTCTGATAAAAAGTTTATCAGTTGACAAAATTTTGATATCTCTTATGGAAACCGAAATAATTGAGCTCAAAGTTGGCGGTTTAGAGAGGGAAGTTCTGGCAACCGACTTTTCCACTTGCTTTTTGTGCTCGAATATTACGATTTCTATGAGAGGTACCAAAAATAAGCCAACTGATAAAATGTTGGTGATACTATGATAAACATTTTTTTAGTTGACTAATTTTTGATATCTTTTATAGGAACCGAGATAATTGAGCTCAAAGCGTCAGCGTGGCTTTTTTTTCAAAAAATCAGAGGAATAACGGTATTGGTTCTAATAAACCTTTGTACATTTACTTTGAGCCTATTTTGCTCGGTGCCTGTAAAAGATATCAAAAACTGGTCAACTGATAAAATGTTCATCATGATATTGCCAACATTTTAACAGTTGACAAACTTTTGATACCTTGCATAGGAATCTAGATAATTGAGCTCGAACTTAGGGGTACTTCTATCACACTTACAGTAGACAATTGAGTAAAAGGTTCAAACACCGAGACACCATGACACAAAAGTACATACTCAAAAATTTCCAGGCTACCACCCTCCGAGTCCGTCGCCAATCCTGCGGCTGCGCCCAATCCCTCCAACCATCCTGCTCCTGCCAACAATCCTCCCAACAGTACACGTGCTCCTGCCAACCCCAACAATCTCAATCCTGCGGTTGTGCCCAACCCCAAAACTACCAATACCAATCGTCTCAATGCCAACCAGCCTGTCAGCAATCCTGCACTCAGCAGTGCCAACAGAACACAAACACTCAGTGTCAGCCAACGTGTCAGCAATCGTGTCAAATGAATTCGTGCGGAGGGATGACTTCCACAATGATGCCAAGTTCTCAGTGTTATTCAGATTGTGAGAATAGTTGCATGCAACAGTGCATCAGTCAAGGATCGAACAGCCAGCAGTGCCAGCAACAATGTGGGCAGCAATGTCAGCAGCAGTGTGGATCGAGTGGCTATACTCAGGATCCTTATAATCAACAGCAATATGGAGCGTATCAGGGATATAATGCTAATCAGAATGTTAACAATCAGCAGGTCATGAGAGATCAGCAATACAACAATCAGATGAACACCAACAACCAAATGGGATATACCAATCAGCCAGGATACAGTAACCAGTACAATGACCCATACAACAACCAAATGGGCAATCAACAAGGATACAACAACCAATACAACCCCTACCAGTCCGGGTGTCAGCATCAATGCTCCAGCCAATGTACAACTCAAAATTCCAACTCCTGCCAGCAATGTCAATCCTCTTGCTCCTCCCAATCAACTCAAGTAATCACTATCACGGTCCAAGCATCTCCTCAAACCACCCAATGTGTCCCACAGTGCCAACAACAATGTCAGCAACAGTGTCAAACTCGTACCTCAAGTGTTCAACAATGTGCTCCAGCGTGTCAAACGTCGTGTCAGAGCTCTTGTGCTCAACCACAACAAATGGTTTGTCAGATGAAGAATAATCAATGCGGATGCCAGCAGAACTATTCACCTTGTGGTGGTGGACAGTGTTGTTTGAAGAAGTAGAGGAATTCGAATGATAATAAGTGTTTTCTGTAAATTTAGGGAACGATTTTTTGTTTTTTGAATTTTATTGTTTGAATGTTTGAAGAAAATGAACTTTTCTTTTCAGAGATTTTGAGATTTTGAGGTTCTTGGATGTGGAGAATCAGAGATTTCGAACTTTAGAAAATTCGAATTTCTGAGATTCTGTGATTCTGAAATTCTGAAATTTGAAACTTTGAATTTCGGATCTTGGGGAATTCTGGTGTAGACTCGGATTTTGAGGTTCTGAAATTCTGCAATTCTGGAATTTTGAGATTCTGAGGTTCAGAGATACGAGGATTCTGGCAATTTCAGATTTTGGGAATTTTAGATACGGATTCGAAAAATCTTTGTATGGGATACTGAGATTTCGGGAACTCCAGGTTTAGAAATACTAGGCAAAAACTCAAAACTCGAAAGTTCAGAAATTCAAAAATTCAAATATTCAAATATTCAAATATTCGAAAATTCGAATGTTCAAAATTTTAAAATTATTTTTTTTGTGAATTTTTGAATTTCGCGTTTTCCGAAATTTTGATTTTTTTTTCTGAATTTTATGGACCACCATAAGTCATTTTTTTCAACTTTCAAATTTACGTATGACTACACTTTTTTGTTCTCTTGTTCTACTTCTTTCCATTTGAATGTAGTACAACTTTTACTAGAAAAAAGTAGACAAGTACATTAGCAATTCGAGAAAAAGAGAAAGAAAAAGAAAAAAAAAGGAGTTTACCCTTCAAATGCATATATCGCCCCATATATAATAGTTCTGGATGAAGAAAGAAAGGAAGGAAAAAAGACAAAAAACATATTTTTCTTTGTTTTCTCGTCAAAATTTTTCTAATTAGAAAAACAGTTTTTTTCGCCGAGAGCGAGTTTTTTTGTTGCTTTTTGAGGTCTCTACTCTTTTCTGAGAACATATGTTTCTTTGAAAATTGAATGTTCAAATTCCCGTTATTTTTTTGAATTTGTCTTTTCACGCTCTCCCACAGAACAATTCGAAACTGCAAATTAATTTTTGATCTACAGAAAAAAAGTTTGGCGCGATCACAATTGCAGGTCTAAAACCATAATTTCAGAATTTTTTATCTGATTTTGTGGAGTTCCAAGATGATTCAAATGATTCTTAAAAAATTAATAAGTGGTTATAGATTCATCTATGGTCCTTTTCCGGAAGAAAAAATGTCAAAAATGGTCATTTTTGAAAGTTTTTTACAGGAAAAAAATCTATCTCCTCTTTCAGTTTTTGACATTTCTAGGAGTTTTATAGCTCAAAAAAACCGCAATTATTTTCTCTACATTTTCTATTCATGGATTTTTAATTTGTCTGATAAAACTTTTTTTGTAATCAAAAAACAACGCAAAAATGCTATTTTGTGCAATTTCATGAGGTTTTTGAATTATAAAAAAAGTTTTATCAGACGAATTAAATAATTCATCCATAGAAAATGTAGAGAAAATAATTGCGGTTCTGTCTATTGTTGCGTTTCTGTAGAAAACTTTCAAAAATGACCATTTTTGACATTTTTTCTTCCGGAAAAGGACCATACATGAATCTATAACCACTAATTAATTTTTTAAAAAATCATTTGAACCATCTTGTAACTCCACAAAATCAGATAAAAAATTCTGAAATTATGGTTTTAGACCTGCAATTGTGATCGCGCCAAACTTTTTTTTCTGTAGATCAAAAATTAGTTTGCAGTTCGGAATTGTTCTGAAGGAGAGCGTGCCTTTGTTACTTTTTAGACTCTATTTTGAGAAAATGCTGTGAAATTGATTTTTTGAATTATTTCATAAATTTTTGAAACAAATTTGCTTCTGATTTTCTGAAAATTTTGAGTTTATTGAAAAGTTCGATTTTTCAAATTTTCTGAATTTCTGAATTTCTGAATTTCTGTATTTCTGAATTTCTGAATTTCTGAATTTCTGAATTTTTGAATTTCTGAATTTCTGAATTTCTGAATTTCTGAATTTCTGAATTTCTGAATTTCTGAATTTCTGACTTTCTGAATTTCTGAATTTTTGAATTTCTGAATTTCTGAATTTCTGAATTTCTGAATTTCTGACTTTCTGAATTTCTGAATTTTTGAATTTCTGAATTTCTGAATTTCTGAATTTCTGAATTTCTGAATTTCTGAATTTCTGAATTTCCGAATTTTTGAATTTCTGAATTTCTGAATTTCAGAATTTCTGAATTTCAGAATTTCTGAATCTCTGAATTTCAGAATTTCTGAATCTCTGAATTTCAGAATTTCTGAATTTCAGAATTTCTGAATCTCTGAATTTCAGAATTTCTGAATCTCTGAATTCCTGATTTTTATTTTTTTTCAGAAATTGAGAGTGTTTCGAGAAATGTGGGCGGAGCTTCGGGAAAAACTTGAAGAATGTTCTGGAATATTATCTCCCATTGCTCATTTTAAATTTTCACTTGTTTTTCATCCGGAATTTTCGGCTTTTTTTTTCTGGAGGACCCAACCAATTTTCCATTCCCGGTGCTTCCGTTTTTTTGTTCTTCTCTTTTTCCAAAACTTTGAAGTTTTCACCCATTTTTCTTTTCCTTTTTTTGAAAATGTCCCATAAATTTTTTTGCTGCAAAAGGCAAAAAAATTCTGGGAACCTAAAATTCAAGTGGAGAAAAAAAAATTTTGTTAAGAAGTGAGAGGAAGAAAAGCATTTGGGATACTTGAGAAATGGAGAAAATTTGTATTCTGGAGAGGTTCTCTTTTTTTTGAGTTTTGAATTAAATTTGAATTTAGCTGAGTAAGGAAGGAAGTAAGTTTGGGAATTCTAGAAGATTCAAACTATTTGGATCTCAGAAATTTCAAAATTTCCATAAAAAATTTATATAAAATTCTACAAATTAATATAAAATTCTAGAAATTCTAGAAATTCTGAAATTCTAGAAATTCTGAAATTCTGAAATTCTGAAAATCTGAAAATCTGAAATTCTGAAATTCTGAAATTCTGAAATTCTGAAGTTCTGAAATTCTGAAATTCTGAAATTCTGAAATTCTGAAATTCTGAAATTCTGAAATTCTGAAATTCTGAAATTCTGAAATTCTGAAATTCTGAAAATCTGAAATTCAGAAATTCTGAAATCTGAAATTCTGAAATTCTGAAATTCTGAAATTCTGAAATTCTGAAATTCTGAAGTTCTGAAATTCTGAAATTCTGAAATTCTGTTTTTTTTCAAAAAATTTTGAAAAAATTTTAAAAAAATTTTAATTCAAAAAAAAAAAATTTGAAAAATAAGATAATACTCTTGTTTCCTAGTTCTCATACCGTGAAACCTGTATTAGAAGGGCCCCTTTAATAGAAGCGCCCCTCTAATAGTAGGGCCCTCCGAGAGGGGCTTGGAAAAAATAGAAGGGCCTCCTGTAGTAGAAGGGCCCCGTAATAGAAGGGCACTCCGTGAAAATCCCCCTAATAGAAGGGCACTCCGTATTATTTTTGAACATGATTTTTGAACGAAACTTCGTCGAATTTTTCTATGCAAAACTTTTGAAAAAACTGACCAAAAAAATAGAAGGGCTCCTCTAATTGAAAGGCCCCCGTAATAGAAGGGCCATTTTTTCAGAATCATTGTTTTCGTTTCTCTCATATTTTCCACTTTTGCCATTAAAACTCCTTAAAGTCATTTCTCTGGACTTCAAAGAATATGAAATTCAGACTTTTTTTTTACAAAATTCATGTCTCTGTTTGACCTGGAAAATTTTTTAATTTTGTTTAAGAAAATCGATATTCTTTTACCAAAAAAAAGTTCAAAAAAATATTCCAAAAAGATCCAAAAAGAAGGAAGATGATCGTTACTTTTTATTGGATTTTTTTTCCTTTTCCTGTACATACAAAGGGTATAATTTCGGTTTTGTCAATGGGAACCAGAATAGGAAAAAAAAGTGAAGATGTAAGAATACATATATAATTTTTGTTCACATGTTCTTTTTCCCTTTTCCCATTGCCGTTTTACTTTTTTTGGCCTTTGAGAGTTTTTTCAAGTCTAGAAATATCGTCAATACTCTAATAGAAGGCCACCCAACCTATTAACTTTTAGCTTATATATCTCATTTTCTGTGAAAGGTATTAAAAAGTGGTTAAATGATAAAATGTTACTGATATTATCTCGGGCGTCGCCGGCAACTTCTGGCCGGAGGCTGGTCGGCTTCAGGATGGAACTTGGTCAGATTCCGGCAAAGACATTGTGGGAAGCCGACCAAGATCCGACAAACTACCGGCCAACTTCCGACCTCCTAACAGCAGGGGCCGGTTCGGTTCGCGTTTATTGATGTTTTTATAGAGAAACAGCGCATAATGTAGAATTTTATTTATTAAAAAAAAGAATTATACATGAAAATGAACAAAATTAGGGGAAAAAATACAGAAAAATAAGAAAATCATGATTAAGATTTTTAAATTTTGAAGATGTCGCTGTGAATCGTGACGAATACGGGAGAAGAGGCTCTGCCTGATATGTGAATAAAATTAGTTATTAATTCAGAAAATAGGAATTTACCTAATTAACTTTCTTGTCTTTCTTCGATTTTTCTAGCATCCAGTTATTTCTTTGATTCCTGGAAACAAAACTTCCAAAAATACAGTTTTTTATCAACAAAAATTACCTTCTAGTTGCGATATCTCCCAAGCACTTGACATTAAAAATGTTGACTTGAACTTTATTTATCTGAAAAATTTAAATTATGACAAGAATTCAAAGAATAAATTACCTGATAAGTTTCGTACTCTTTTTTTCGAGAACATCGTCTGTTATTGTCTCCGAAGTACTTGTCTGAAAAAATGCTCCAAAAATTGAAAGGATGCAACTTTAAAACAAAGTTTTTAGGGAAAGGCAAAAAAAATAGTTTAGAAAACAAATTTAAAATGAGTGAAGCACGCGCCGCATAACACGCAGCGCCTTCAAATTCCGGCCAAAATCCGATCATTGTCCGTCCCACTGCTGCGGTGGGCAGCTTCTGACCAAAAGCTGACCAAGATCCGTCCAAAAGCCGAACCACCTCAACTTCCGGCCAGAAGTTGCAAGCCGACAGCCGAGATGAAGAACATTTTATCAGTTGATTACTTTTTGATATCTTTCACTTGAACCGAGATAATTGAGCTCAAAGTTTGCGGTTTGGGTGGCTATCTATTAGAGTGGAAAAATCCCAAAAATTTCAACACAAATATCATGATTTTCCACTTTAAAATCATCAAAGCTACCCTGAAAATGTATCCAGAAAACTAGAAGACTCTGAATTTCAGAGATTTCCTCATTAAAATTGTTCCTCCTTCCTTTTTACTCATATCTCTCCTTTACTACCCCCACCACAACCTAAGTTTTACACCTCCCCTCTCTCTCTCTCTCTCCTGCTTTTATCATTTATCTTCTTCTTCATATCATCTCGTCTTTTTCTTCTTCAGCTCAAAATCTGCTCTGCTGCTCCTCTCAACTTTCTTCTCATTTGACCTGGGTTTTCCCCTTTTTCCCTCCTCTGAATCTCAATATCTCTATTTTTTCAAGCTGCTCGGAGAGCAAAAAGAGACGAATTTTTCAAATATATTTATTTTGTTCCATTTTTTTTGAAGATGTTGGTGTTTTCATATGATAGGGGTTATCATCATTTTATCATCTCTATTTACCTTTGATCTCTTAGGAAACTTTGTTGAAATTTGAGCTCTGAGGATTTCCCTTTTTTGTGTTGTATACATTTTTCCAAATGTTGGGTGCATTGATCTGGAAATCTTTAAAATCTGAAAAATCTGAGAACCTGTAACATTTGAAAATTTATTTCTGTTTGATCGTTATTTGTTTTGATTTTTAGAAAAAAAAATTATACTCAAACTATAAATTTTTGGTTTTCTCATCAACAACTACAAAAATAGAAAACAAGTAACGAAAAAATCTTGGATCTCTCTGTTTTTTTTTCCTTTTCATCAATTTTTCCTTTTCATAAAATTTCGAAAAATTCTGAAATACATTGAGATTTCTTTCAGAATTTATTTGTTTTTTTTTTTTGCAAAACTCTGAGAAATTTTGAAATTTTCAGAATAAAAAAAAGGTATTTTTTTGAAAATGTGAAAATGGATTTTATTATAATTTCTCGAACTTGAAATTTTTCAACATTCAAAAACCCAAAAATTCGGAATATTCGAATTTTTCAGAATCACGAATTCTCAGATTCCTTGAACCTCAAAGTCTGAAAATCTAAAAATTACAGAAGTTAGCAAAACTATTGTATTTCAGAATTTTAGCATCTCTGAAAAAATCAGAGAATTATAATTTTTGTAATTTTTTGTTTTGAAATTACTGTTGCTGAGAATTGAAAATCAAAACTTACAATGTATTTTTAACATTTACCGTAAAACCTGTATTAAGACCCTTCGGAGGTACCTTGAAACAATGAAAGGGCCGGCCTTTCTAATACAGGCTTTACGGTATTAGTGTTAAATAGTGTTTAAACTTTTTAGTGCTTTAGTGTTAAAAATCTAAACTTTCCCTGTGTTTCGAATTAATTAAAGATTTTTAGAAACATAAAAAAAGGATTTCACACAATAAAAAAACTATTTTCTAAATTTCTAAAAACAATTAGAAACCCTTGAAAAGTAAGAAATTCTCACACTGACCAATGAATTCAGTAAAAATGGTGAGCCATTCCAATCGCTTTTACTTTGACATAAACATTCCAGCCTCTTATTTCTCTCTCTCTCTCTCTCTCTCTCTCTCTCTCTCTCTCTCTCTCTCTCTCTCTCCATCTATCATTAAAAATCCATTCCAGATGTTCATCTCTCCCCATCCAAACATCCCAATATACTTTTTGATCAAAACCTTTCTCTTCTTTTCTTCTAATCTAGTCGGCTCCAGATTCTTGTCCAAAAGAGTTTCCATCAATCTTCATATTCCTTTTTTCTCTCTTTTTATAGGGGACAAAATAGACTTCTCCTTCTCTATTCCCTTTTTTCTTATCTTGCTCTGTAATTTAATCCCTCCACCCTTTCTCACTTTTTTTGCGAGACGAAAGTGCCACTCATTTAGGGGATTTTCTAGGGTTTTTGCTTTTATTTTTGGAAAAGTTTGGAACTGCGTAGCTGGGATTCTGTAATTCCGAGATTCAGAAGCTGAGAAATGAAATCCCAGAATTTTATAACCTCTCAAATTCTGAATTCCTGCTGCATTTTGCAGTTTATCTATGTAATTTTTATATTTATTTTTTCATTTATTTTTTGAACTTTCGAATTCCCAAAAGTAGCTCAACTTAACATTTAAAATAAATTAATTTTTGAATTTGGAGCATAATTTTTTAACATTTAACTTTTTCCGAATGTTCCTTATTTCCCTCCAGTTTTCCAACTTTTTTCGGTTACACAAAATTTCTAAAAATGCTGAAAAATGCTGAAATTCGTTTTCAGAACTGTCATCAAATCTACGCGAACGGCGGCCAGACGGCATGACGGCCGAGGCGGATTTGCTCGAAGGATATGATGAGGTAATGAAAGAGAGAGAGAGAGAGAGAGAGAGAGAGAGAGAGAGAGAGAGAGAGAGAGAGAGAGAGAGAGAGAGAGAAGCAGAGAATTCTCTGACCATTTTACACTGGACCCTCTGAAGACCAGGTGGTACACTTGTATCAGTTGTTGTGATTACAAGAAAAATTGGGACATGGCATGGGAGAAATTATAGGAAATGGATAATTAGTAAATGGAAAAAAAAACTTTTTTTAATCAAAAAATGTGATTTTTTTGAAATTTCTGAACTGATTTACGAGATTTTTACAAAGTTTTCAACTTTTCAGTAAACTTTGAAAATTTGAAATCGCTTAAGTTTCTCGTAACTATTTTGAGATGTAAAAATTTGTTGGAATTCTAAAGAAAAATGAAAAAATGAAAAATTGGAATCATTAAAAAATATTTCAAGATTCTCTATTTTTAAGAGTTTTATTTTCAAATTTTCAAATTATTTTTGTGTTTTTTTTTTCATATTTGTGAGACTTAGAAAAACCTTGAAACCTTAAAAATTTGGTCTTTCTTTTCGTCCCTCGAACATTGAAAAATGCATTTCAGTGAGTTTCGAGAGAATTTCTTCAAGATATTTTCTTTTTTTTGTCTGCTGCTGGAGTTTTTCAAATTTTCATAAGAGAATCGACAAAAAAAATTGAAAAAAGAACTGAAAACAAAAATACCAAATTTTTGGTTTTCTCATCAACAACTACAAAAATAGAAAACAAGTAACGAAAAAATCTTGGATCTCTCTGTTTTTTTTCCTTTTCATCAATTTTTCCTTTTCATAAAATTTCGAAAAATTCAACCAAATTCTCTTGCACCCTAAATTTCGGAACCCTATAAAAATTTTTTGAATTTTTTTTGAAAAAAAAACCCAGCCACATGTTCCAGATGTTCTTGAACGATGTTTTTTATGTTGGGGTTGTTTTTCAGATGTTTTCAAAGAAACAATATTTTTTCAAAAAATCGTCAAAATTGAATGAAAAATGTTTTGCATCTGACTCAAGATACTATACTTTTGTTTTATGTTTCTATTTTCGAAAAATTTTAAACACTTCTTCACACATAGGGTTCTTAGTAAAATGATGAGCTCTACAAAACGGATCTAAAAGCCTGCTGCTGTCAGAAGTTCGGAAAAAGATTTGTTATTATCCACTATTATTCATGTCTAGGTTAAGAAATATCAATTTTATGCCACCATGTCCCTTTTTGTCGATTTATTCTCTTTTTCATTCTTTTTTCTTTTATTCTTCCACGTATTTTTTACGTAATAAATACAATACAATACAATACAATACACCAACACAAGTGTTTTTGAAATCATTTTTTTTGAATTCTCAAATTTTGCAAATTGTTAAATTTTTGAAATTCTGAAATACGGAAAGAATATTGGAGTATCTTAAAATTTGGAAGTTTTCAGTATTTTTGAATTTGTTAATTTCCGAAATTCAGAAATTTAGGAATTTCGAAATTCAGAAATTCAGAAATTCAGAAATTCAGAAATTCAGAAATTCAGAAATTCAGAAATTCAGAAATTCAGAAATTCAGAAATTCAGAAATTCAGAAATTCAGAAATTCAGAAATTCAGAAATTCAGAAATTCAGAAATTCAGAAATTCAGAAATTCAGAAATTCAGAAATTCAGAAATTCAGAAATTCTTTAAAAATCACACCCCAAATGATCAAAAATGTTCCGATCACAATAAAGAACGTACTAAAAATGTCCCAAAAAACTACAAAAGAAAAAAAAGAATTGAGACCGAGACATTAAGGAAAACAGGTCTCTTTCCCGTCTCGCCAAAACTGACCATTTTCTGTATCGTTTTCTTTTTTTTCATTTTCTTTTTTCTTCAATTTTTGTGTCTGTTTTGTTTGTCAACAAATAATTCCCATTAGGATTTTTGGAACGGTGGTCTAGTTTTTACGGAAATTAATTCGTTTTGTAAATATTGAGAAGGAGATTTTCATGAAATTTCCGTGGCTTATTTTTCTGATTCTTCTCTTTAAGCTTCTGAAGTTTTGAGTTTCTGAATTTCCGAATTTCCGAATTTGAGAATCTCTGAATTTCTGAATTTCTGAATTTCTGAATTTCTGAATTTCTAAATTTCTGAATTTCTGAATTTCTGAATTTCTGAAGTTTTGAGTTTCTGAATTTCCGAATTTCCGAATTTCCAAATTTCTGAATTTCCGAATTTCCGAATTTCCGAATTTGAGAATTTCTGAATTTCTGAATTTCTGAATTTCTGAATTTCTGAATTTCTGAATTTCTGAATTTCTGAATTTCTGAATTTCTGAATTTCTGAATTTCTGAATTTCTGAATTTCTGAATTTCTGAATTTCTGAATTTCTGAATTTCTGAATTTCTGAATTTCTGAATTTCTGAATTTCTGAATTTCTGAATTTCTGAATTTCTGAATTTCCGAATTTCCGAATTTCCGAATTTGAGAATTTCTGAATTTCTGAATTTC